TCAGCCACCCACCCCTGTTATTTCCTGTAAACTGTCATTTAAATCTAGTGGCTTAATAAAATCTAGTCCAGGGCCCTCCCTGGTGGCGTGGGGGGTTGGAGCGCTGCACTGCAAAGCTAAGCCAAGCTGTGGCTGCTTCATTGTGAGCTCGATTCCCTGCCCTATAGGTGATCCACATGGTGCAGCAGACCTCTCCTGTCTCGCCCACTGCTCCCCTCAGCAGTGTATTACTTCAATCTGCCTGTTCTGCTCCCCACTCTGTTTCTGGTGAATCCTCACGCTGCCCCTGCACCTCTGGCCTGTACCCCAGTTCTGTATGTGTTTAAAAAAAAAAACTTAAAAAAAAAAACCTAGTCCAATGTTTTGACAAGAATACTTCATAGGTGGTATTGTGACATATCAGAGACATATAATACACATGACAGACATGTAATATCTGGTTATATCTGTTTTGTGATGTTAGCAGCCACTGATGATTATAACCTAGATCTGTTAGTAGGGGCTTACTTTCATTTATATTTTTGCTGGGTATAGAATTCTTGTATATTTTTAAAGACTATTTTCCACCTTTACAACAGTTTTGGGTTTACATCAAAATTGAAAAGAAGGTATAGAGATTTCCCCACCCATGCAATAACTTCTACTGATACAATCACTTACCAGGTGCTATATTTTCTACCAAGGGTGAACCTCTATTGACATATCATAATCACTCACAGTCCATAGTTTACTTTGCATTCACTCTTGGTGTTGTACATTATATAGGGTTGGGCAAATGTATCCATCACTATAGTGTCACACACAGTATTTTTACTGCTCTAAGAATTCTCTGTTCTCTGTTTATCATTTCGTTAATTTTGCTGGTTCCAGAATGTAATATAGTTGGAATCATATAATATATAGTTAACTTTTTTCACTTAACAATATGCATTTAAGGTTATTTCATGCATTTGTAATAACATGATAGCTCTGTTTCTTTTTAGTGCTAAATAATGTCCCATTGTCTGGCTTTACTACTGTTTATCTGTTCACCTACTAGAGAACATCTTGGGTTCTTCCATGTTTTGATTATTAAAGCTGCTATAGACATCTGTGTACAAGTTTTTGTGTAGGCTAAAGTTTTCCCTTTCCTTGGGTAGATGTCAAGGAACACTGTTGCTGTATTATAAAGTAAGAATATATTTAATTTTGTATGAAACAGTCTTTCATTTTGCATTTCTGCCAGTAATGGATGAGACTTCTTATTGCTCCACATCTTTGCCATATCAGTGTATCAGGTGTTTCAGACTTCTACCACTCTAACCAAGTATGCAGCGATATCTTGTTTAATGTATTTCCCTGATGACATGTTTTGGAGCACCTTTTTATATGCTTGTTTGTCATTTATCTTAGGTAAGGTGACTCTTAATATCCTTGCTTATTTTTTTTTAAAGATTTATTTATGCATACAGAACTGGGGTACAGGCCAGAGGTGCAGATATGGTGAGAGGATTCACCAGAGACAGAATGGGGAGCAGAACAGGCAGATTAATGAAGTACACTGCTGAGGGGAGCAGTGGGCCAGTCAGGAGAGGTCTCCTGTGCCACATGGATCACCTCCAGGGCGGCGATCTAACTCATGCTGAAGTGGCTTTAGATTTTTAGTGCTGTGCTTTAACCTGCTGTGCCACCAGGGAGGGCCCCCTTTGCCTATTTTTAACCAAAGATACTTGTTTTCTTACTGTGATTTTAAAAGCTTTCAGATATTTTGGTAACTCTTTTCTGATTTTATTTTACAAATAATTTTTCCTTCTGTGACTTGTTTTTCTCTTGACATTTTCCTTAATAGAAAAGTTTTTCCTTTTGATGTAGTTCAGTTTATCAGTGGTCTTATTCATGGCTTTGGTATTACACCTAAAAATACATCACTATACCCTAGGTCATCAAGGTTTTCTCCTAGGAACTTTATAGCTTTGCATTTTACTATATTAAAAAAAAATTATTTGAGGGGCCCTCCCTGGTGGTGCAGTGGGTTAAAGCACAGAACTGTGAAGCTAGCTGCAGCCCCTTGAGGTTGCTCGCTGCTTCCCTCAGCAGTGTATTTAGTCAGTCTGCCTGTTCTGCTCCCCACTCTGTCTCTGGTAAATCCTCTTACCGCCCCTGTAACCTCTGGCCTATATGCATAAATAAATAGATCTTTAAAAAATTATTTGAAGAATATTCTATTGTCTACCTTTGAGATGTTAATATCTGCCTCATTGCTCTTTTGAAGCTAACATTAAAAGAGTTTAACTGCCTTTAACATGTTCTTTTTGTCAGCAGTTTTATATGTTGTAATTGTAGACCTTTATCCTTTTAGACTTTATTGGGCTACTTTGATCTGTGATTTGGTATCTTGTAGCAGTTTTGGAAATTTTTCATTATTTCCTCTACAAATACTTCTTGTGATTTCTTGTTATTTCCTCTACAAATATTTCTTTTGCTCTTTACACATACTAGATTTTTTTTCCTTTATCTTTTAATTTTCTTCTCTCTTTTCCATTCTTTTCTCTTCCTGAATTTTAGGATGGATTTTTCTTACCTCTCTTCTTCTGATTTACTAATTCTTTCAGTGTCAAATTTGTTAAACTCCATTTATTGATTTTTTTTTTTTTAAAGATTTATGTGTTTTTGCATACAGAACTTGGGTACAGGGAGAGATGCAGGGGAGGTGAGAGGATTCACCAGAGACAGAGGAGAGCAGAACAGGCAGATACAGTGAAGTACACTGCTGAGGGGTGCAGTTGAGGGGTGCAGCGGGCAGGTGGATCCACCTGTTGTGACATGTGGATCACCTCTGGGGTGGGAGATCAAACTTGCACTGAAGCGGCTATGGCTCATTTGCAGTGCTGCCTTTTAACCCATTGGGCCACCAGGGAGGGCCCTGATCTGTCACTTTTGGTTGTTTTATTTTTCAGTTATACATTTACATTCTCAAATTATCATCCTTTTCCACATATAAGTGATTTCTAGTTCTGTACATAAATGCTTGATTTAAACTATATACTTAAATATAATGTATTAACGTCTAAACTTGATAGTCAGCATTTGGTATATTGCTAATTTGTTCCCCCTGGTTTACCTCATTTATATAAACCATCCATTTGGTTCAAATATCAGGTTTGAAAAGATGTGGATTGTAATAAATAATGTAATTGTAATAAACTCATGCCATTAGTCAGAAGGAAAAAGAAATATTGTATGGCTTCATTTATCGGTGGAATATAGTGAAACTGAATAGAGGGGTCAGTAAAAAGACAAGACTAGCAAGCTGACCATGGATCTGTGGCATATATAGCAGGGTAGAGGGAAGGAGAGGAGTCAAATTTGGGAAGGGTAGAGCACAAAGGACTATGGTGATGATTCACAGGTGCAGTGGTGGTGGGAGAAGTAAAGGGACTATACCTGAGGGAAGAAGTCAAATAGTGTACAGAAATTAACAATGAGGTAAGAAAATAAAAATAAATTGAAAAAAAAAAGGAGAGAAAACTGATGTTTTGTAGTCCCTGGAAGGGCTTGCCTACTATGGTTCATCTTTACTCCTTATATTATTATTCTTTGAGTCTCAAAGGGCAATGGGGTTCCCATGCTTCTCACCTTTCTCTTACCCTGTGAAGTTGTGAAAAGCTCTACTTCTCAGTGTCCACTGCCTCTTCTGGATGCCCTAAGGGAAAAGCTACACTACAAACCTGACTCACTTCTGTGTATAGCTATTAGATCTTAGCCTACTGATGCGTAACCACCTCTTTATTTCTCCTGTGTCTTTTAATTATCACCTTTCCTCCCATCCCCATATTTTTCTAGTTTTCCTCATTGGGAGGTTATAGATATCAGTTCACTATTCCTGAAAATTTGAGCTACTTTTTTCTTGCTGTTGAATTTATTCAGAGATAATAGTGTTTCTGTTCTTAGATTATCCAAGAATTGTCCTTATAAAATAGTATATTAAAAACAGAAATGTTTAAAGGAGTTGAAGGAAGTCAAATGTAATGAGGCATTTGTTACTGTTCCTGTAAAGTTCCTTTTTGTTAGACAGCTGGTTTTTGTGGGGATGGGGTTGGGGAAGAAGTTAGAGATAAGCTTAACTTGCATAATTTAAGTTTGAAGTGATTAAGATATCTAGTAGAGTTATGCTTGAAGCATACAGATATTAAATAAGTGGTTTGATGCAGGAACAGTGAGGGGCTCTGGGTTTGGACATTAAAAGCAGAAAGTTATTGTAATTGAATCTGTCAAAGTAACTATATGGGCAATAATGTTTGTAGACTTCCACTCTTAAGACTATCCCTCTAAGCAAGGTACACCTGGGCAGGTTAATTGTGGGCAAGGTAAGATGTAGCAAAAATTTTGTAGTAATAGGCCAAGATAATTTGTTTCTAGATTATGTATCTATGAAAATTACTTTTTAAATCCATATTAAATGACTTTGGTTGATTTTTCTAAATACTAAAACCCTATGTGCTAAATAGTAGCTACAGAAAATCAGTATTCAAGTATAAAATATGTAATCACAGTATAGATTTCAGATGTAATCACAAAATACATCAGAATTTTAGACTTACTAATAATTCATATTTAGTTTTGTGCAAACTTAAAAATTGTCTATCATTAAATGTGTAAAACAGTGGGAAATGATGTTTAAGGAATAATTAAAAAGGCAGCATTAAATATAGATGACTTTCACACTGAACCAATTTACAGAGACAATACAAGAAGCCGCATGCTTGTTCTTTTTAAATAATCATTGGTACTAAAGATAAAAGATTAGTGACTTAAGTTTTTTTCTGTGATATAAATTATTTTAGGTCTATACCAAATTAGTACTTTGAAGTAGATGTGTACAAAGATAGGCCAGGAGTTCAGGATCATAGGACTGTTTATTTTTAACATACATTTGAGTTATTATTTTGTTTCTTAGTTTTAATTGTGTTTTGATAACTTTGCTATTTGAGATATTATAATATGGAAATTTGATTTCACAGAGCTACGATCGAAGAGGCATACTCCAGGTCAATGACAAAACTAGCAAAATCTGCAAGCAATTACTCACAACTTGGGTGAGATCTTTTTTTTGGGTGAGATCTATTAATTTAGGTGAAATTCTTAAGACAAGTTCCCAATGAGGCTATAATAATTGATAAATACTATAACAGTATATAATATACTTAAAATCTATGTATATATTCTTGACAGAAAATATATTTTCTAAATCAGTTCATGCAGAGTAGAGGAATCTTATTTTTCCACTTTACAAACTATGTAATTATTTGTAACTTTGTGTTATATAACATTATTCTAATTTTCTGTAAATTTAAATTCTCTTGAGTAGATCTTTGGAATCTTAAAGTAAATTTTTTAAAAATAGTTGAAATATAGTGAACTATCATGATTATTAAATATTCCTCTTAAAGATTTGTGTTCAAGAAATGTGTTCTTTGAAGAATGAATATTAGGGCTCTCCCTGGTGCCACAGCGGGTTAAAGCACAGCACTGTGAAGCTCTCAGAAGCCACTGAAGCACAAGTTCAATCCCTAGGCATGGAGCTGACCCACATGGCCTGGCAAACCTCTGTGACTGGCTGCTCCCCTCAGCAGTGTATTTTAGCAGATCTGCCTGATCTGTCTCTGGTGAATCCTCTCACCACTACACCTCTGGCCCGTACCCCAGTTCTGTAAGCATAAATAAGTAAATCTTTAAAAAAAAAAAAAGAAAAATGAATATTAATAATAAGATATTTAAAATGAGATAATCTTATAATCATAACTTTGGAAAGGATATTTGTATGCTAATTTAAGCCATAATAGTTCTGGAGGACATATTCAATCTAATTCTCTAAAATTTCAGGAAAAATTCTATTTTAGTTAAGATGTTACAATGACATTTATAAATATTTTTATAGTAATAGTCAGTAAAAAAAAATCCTTCTGGAAATCTTTTCTGGGATTTTGATGAGTTTGAATTCTGAAATTCTGTATAAAATTTTATATAGGCATTCTTTTTTTTTTTTTTACAGATTTATTTATTTGTAGATACAGAACTGGGGTATAGGCCAGAGGTGCAGGGGCAGTGAGAGGATTCACCAGAGACAGAGTGGGGAGCAGAACAGGCAGATGGACGAAATACACTGTTGAGGAGAGCAGTGGTCATGTCAGGAGAGGTCCGCCATATCACGTGGGTCACCTCCTGGGCTGGGAATCGAACTTGTTGCAGTGGCTGCGGACAGCTGCATAATGTTGTGCTTTAACCTGTTGTTCCATCAGGGAGGACCCTAATTCATATTTTTGATAAAACTCTTTGTTTATATGCCAGTTTCCAGATTCACATGTAGTTTTGTGATCAAAAAAATTGCTGATCAATTATGACTATTTAAAAAAAAGTATTCTCTATTGTGGTTGTGTTTGAGTGAATTTATAATAAAAATCTTCCTACTTTGTGGCCTAGATAATGAGAGTTGGATTCTCAGTTTACTTTAGAGTAGTGACATTATTATTATGTAAGTGCTCACTGCAACGACTAAAAGGACATTCTGCAGCCCTGTGTACTGACTCAAGAAAGCTGGAGGTCCCATTTCTTTCACTTAAAGGAAACTGGGGACTGGTAATTGATGGCTGTTTTCCTTCTGATTGTCCTCCAGTTTCTTCCCGTTTTCCCTTTTCCTCTCCCTTGCTGCAGCTTCCCTGTTTTTTTTTTTTTTTAATCTTTTTTTGTCTCTTTTTTTCTGATAGTCTCCCATTTCTAAAGCCTTCACCCATGCATGCATAATTTTATAATTTTTTCTTTATTGACTAAAGTACGAGGGTCAAAGCTAGCTTCAACAGTGGCCATGGTTTTATTATAGGAAATTCCACCCTAATCTTTGTTACCAAGTAGAAGGTTAAAAAAAAAATGGATTAACATCATCTGTGTTTCATGATAATAAAGTTACTGATAATTTTCTGTCTTTGGAATTTCTACTTTAATAATATGTAATGTGATTTTTTTTTTTTAGTGTCATCTCAGGATATTTAAAATATTAATGATTTTGTTTGTTGACATATAGGCAAGAAATTTAGTATTATCTTTCTATATTTAGTGTATTCAGTCATAGTTTGGATTTGTCAGTTTTCTTTCTTAGTGTTTATTGTACACTGTTGTGTGTATTACTTGACTAGGAAAAAGTATAACTTAACAATTTAAAAATGGAATGATATTTTTTAAAAATCCAATAATGATTGAAAGTCCTTAAGGAAACCTACATATTTAATATTTACTTTTATTTTTTA